ATCAGAAACCACTAAAGACCATGAAAGCATCATTTAATATCAGAAAACAATAAAGACTATGAAAACATTATTTAATGTCAGAAAATTCTAAAAGGCCATGAAAGCATCATTTAATATCAGAAAACAATAAAGACCATGAAAACATTATTTAATATCAGAAAATTCTAAAAGACCATGAAAGCATCATTTAATATCAGAAAACATTAAAGACCATGAAAACATTATTTAATGTCAGAAAATTCTAAAAGGCCATGAAAGCATCATTTAATATCAGAAAACAATAAAGACCATGAAAACATTATTTAATGTCAGAAAATTCTATAAGACCACGAAAGCATCATTTAATATCAGAAATCACTAAAAGACCATGAAAGAATTATTTAATATCAGAAAACATTAGAAAACCATGACAGCGTCCCCTAGCGGTGGGACAAGTGGTGCCACATACTGGTGACAGTACCTTCCTACCGCAAATAAAACATCACCTAAATAATATCTTCTCATATACTTATTACAAAATTAAATCAAGTTTAAACTGTAACCTATAGCATTGCACTCATAGCACATGTTCATGTTGCTAGCAATGTTTGCTAAATTAAAACTATCTAAACATGTGGTTAAACAACAACACTTATTGTGAAACATTGACTTTCATAATATATATATTATTAAAAACCTGTGAAAGTACTTTAGAAGATTCTGGAAAACTCTCACTGGCAATTCCTGAAAGCAGCTCCTTCTCTCTGTTTCTGAAACCACACTGAGAAAAACAAGATGGCGTGCTGCTACTAGACTGCAATCTAACCAATCATAAAAAAGTTGCTAGGCAGATTTTACCCAGCCACGTGCTGTGCCTCACCTAAATGTTACAATGTTTAAAATAAAAAAAAACTAAAAGACCATGAAAGCATCATTAAATATCAGAAAATAATAAAGACCATGAAAACATTATTTAATGTCAGAAAATTATAAAAGACCATGAAAGCATCATTTAATATCAGAAAACACTAATGACCATGAAAGCATTGTTTAATATCTGAAAACATCAATCATTACCTAGCATCATTATTAATAATACTAAGCAAAACCATTATAACTAAGTGTGATAATTTGTTTCAAATGTTTGTCAGATCTGTACTCATGAGACGTTGCAGATTTATTAAGACATATAACAAGTTTATGCATTGCAAACTGATTTAAAGAAAAAAATCTCACAAACACATACTGCAGCAAACCCTTTTATTTAAACAATAGAAAAAATAATAAAGTGGCAGTATGACTTAGGCATCCTCTCTCTTCTCCATCTCCTCTGCAACTCTGTAATATAGAAAGGGACAAAGACATGGCCCATGAGCAAAAAGTCAGAATAATAAAATATAAAATATTGTCGGCAAGATAAATCATGACTTACCATTTTATCTGTCTGATCGTTATCATCAGATTATCTACGGTATTGTCAAGCTCTGTACAAATCACATCTAGCCTGGGACAGTGCAATAATATTTCTTTAACCTAGAGAGAGAAAAAGTTCTAAGTGGTCTTTGTTTCTAATTTAAAAAGAAATTTAAATCAGATAACAGCAAACTTACAGTTTCAATATGCATTGGCTCATGCCCAGACGGACCGAACATGTCAAGCACCTCCACCTTCACCTTTTCAAATCTCGCAATGATGGAAACCAAATAGACCCATGGTCTTAACTGCTGTATTTTTGGAGAAACAGACATATCTTTAATGACAGCACACAAGTTTATATAGCACGGCAATTTAGAAAAGTCCCAATGTCTCACCATTCTCAATATGCCCTTTGCCTGAGGAAGATGGGGAGTCTCGGCTCGCTCTGACTAAAACAACAAAACATATACATATCTAACTATATATGTTTTAATTAATAAAAATAATCATGATGGTTAAATAAACAGAAAATTAATCTGAAACCTACTAAGGCACATGCCTTGTCCTCCTCTTCTTCCTCCCATTTGTCCAGTCTAGTATTTTTTGCCATACATTTTGCTTCCGCTCCACTGCTTTGGGGCGTCTCCACAGTGTCTGTCATAAATAAGTACATGAAAACAGTATTGAATGTCTGTAAATGTTAGTAGTCCATAAAAAGAATGTTTAATATCAGAAACTATACAAGTCCATGAAAACACTGTTTATTATAAGAAACTATTGGTCCATGAAAACAATGTTTAATATCAGAAACTATAAAAGTCCACGAAAACAATATTTAATTTCAGAAACTATATAGGTCCATCAAAACAATGTTTAATATCTGTACCGCATCACCGTACATTAAAAACTTATTTTTAAAAGTTC